TTAGTTACAGTATTGGTATTTGCAGAGCCCAGGTCTTGTAACCTTTTTATAGTATTTGTGTTTCTACTTACTGTAATCTTTAAAATGTATTTCAATTTAAAACCTCCATTGAAAACACATTTCCCAGCAAACCACTATAGTATATGCCTAAAATTAATGTAATTAATGAAAAGGCTCTCAAGACTGAAATCTTAAAAAAAATCTACTCTTTTACATAATTCCATGAACTTTGAAAATTATGATTGTCTTAAATTAATAATATCATTGTCAGCACACTCTCCTTCTTGGAAACAGAATTCATCTGGTACTGGAAAATTAATGTTTTGCTTGAGGCTTTGCCCTTTAACTAATGTAAATTAGAGAAATTGATTAACACAATAGAAAAAAGTTATACCTTCTCCGTAGTACATTTTTGATAGCTGTTGGTTGATAAATTAGTATATATTGTGTGTTTTTAAATGAATATGATTTATTGCTGTTGTCTACCATATGAAGAAACACAAAAAAATTGTTTGCAGGATCATTGACTTGAACATATCAATGGCACTGTTGGACAATTCTTGCTGAGTGTTAAGATGATTTATGTAACAGACCGAAGGTTTCCACAGTAATGCATTATAGTCTCAAGCTATCAAGCCTTGTTCATGCAGAGACAAATGCAGCTGAAAAACACTTGCTTCTGAAGGTCCTCTGCTTAGAAATTAGAGATAAGGTCGATCCTATTAAAACTCCTGGAAATATCTGCAGACAAATATATTGCCCTAACTTTCAAATGTGCATAAGGTACATTGCTGTTTTTCTGCTTCTAATGAACTCATTGTTTTTACATTACTCTCGATTCATAAGTATTTCAGTTATGTAACAATGTGTTCAATAATAGAAGAGGAGACAGCCTGAAGCATCTATCTTTTAAAAACTGGCATCTTTCCACAGTTCAGATGTAGAAGCCTTGGTGCAAATGAAAATTAAGACACGCTCTACATAGTTGGCAGTACCATTCATTTCGTTTAAATTAAATATCTATAGGCGAATTCCCAACTTTTAAGGAACTGTTGCTAATACTAGATTCTGTTGAGTAAATGCATGGTTACTGATGCAACCGCCGAGCACAGGAATTAGACTTACTTAATGTATATTGTCATCGGTGCTGTCATATAATAACAGTTCTGCTCTTTCCAGAGGGATTTACGTTGGATGTTTGAAAGCTTGCTGCCTCTTGTGGTCAGCCTGTTTGAGCCACCCCCTTTGATTTCCCTTCCTTGATTACTTTTTAAAGTTCTATTAAAATTATTTTGAAACATAAGTAAGTTTTGCTGAAGCTACAGGCCACCATTTATTATTAATATGTGTGAGCTGTACTTATGAATTGTAATTGGATACAGGCAATGTAGCCTTCCCTAATGCTTTCAGTGGTAGATAACTGCTTTCATTAGAAATTCCAGATAAATGGCTTGTGTTGGAAGAAGTGGTGCTCCAAGAAAGCACAGGAATTGGGACAGGGTGATGACTGGCCTGGGAGTGGGAGTTCTTGCTGCAGGGAGAAGTTTTGGCCTTTTGCTAAAGTTCCCTTAAAATATTTTTGGGGGGAGGAGGTAACAATACAACATTCCAGGAGAACCCATTGCCAGCACTGAATTGGTTGCATCAAGGAGACCCCAGATGGTTCCTCAAGAAGGCTTTCCCAATGGCAAGGGGAGAAGTGTCAGGAAAGTAGGAGTGGGTGTTTAAAGCTTGTACATGCTATTGGCAGGACAAGCTCATGTCCCATTCTTCACTCCTTCACTCCAGGCACAGTTGCAACAGCCTTGATTCAGAGATATGCTGAGTTTGCTGCAAATGTATATGGACAGGGCTTTTGGTTTCTGATGTGCCAGTGTGCCAAGTCATTACAAGCATCTGAACCATGCTCCTGAATAAGACAAACTGGAGCACTGGCAAATCACTGTTGAAGTAACTTCCCTGAAGTTTTGTCTGTATTTGTTACCTGCACATATACTAGGTATGGAAATATCAAATTGTCTGAATATGTAAGGTGAATAGGGTACTCTGCAGATGCTTTCAAATATCTGTCTATCCCATTCGAATCCAGGCCTAGCTTTATTGAAATTGTACAATAGTTTGTGTCTTAACAAAAAATTTAAAAAAATTTAAAAATATAGGAAGTGCTACTGCTTGAATTATATGTTGTTTTGGGGTGTTATTATTGCCTTTGCTATTACAATTCTACTACTTTAAGAAGCTTATGTAAGTGTAGTGGACAGTGCTATTGTAGGTGATGTGGGATCAAATATACTCTGACTGGTTCACAAGCAACAACCATGGTGTGATTTTTTTACAATAGTTAATCAAAGAGCAAGTGTTAATTTAAAATGCTTAGCCCACATAATATATATCACATTATTATATACTTACACATGACACAGCTTGGATTGTGGAGTTTTATGCTGCTAGTGTCTTATACTTTCTTTTTAATAAGTGAAGCTAAATGTCCTACTAGCAGTTCAATTGCTTTCCCCATTTTTTGAATTATTACTAATTAAAGACTCATTTGAAATGCAACAGATCAAGTCTAACTAAAGTAAAACCTTTAGTGACGTGCAAAAAGGGGTGTACAAATAAGCAGATTTGCTGAATGCCTCCCATATTAATGGTCCAGGCACACCCAGCCTGTCAATATTTGGCTTAGGAATATTTGCTTTTAGTAGCAAATGTAAGTCTCACAGGACAGTGAGAGAGAGAGAAAACAGATGTTAACACTTCTTTGTACCTGCAAAATCATGGGAAAATAAGCTCTTTTGAGGCCATCAGTCTTTTGGGACAGTAGAAAAGACAGTCTTGAACATAAACGTCCTCTTTTCACAGCTCATGAATCCCTCCAGGTTGCTGTAGGCTACATAGATCCAAGCTCACCAGCTACCAAACCTAAGTGTACTTGTGTGGGGTAGTGCTGGTCCAGGAGAGCATTATGGATGTTGTCCCTTCTTCATTTCTGTTCCTCACTGCTTTGTTATTGTGGTATTAGACCTTAAGCTCACTTTAAACACCTTTCTCTTAATCATCAATTTTATATAATAGTAGCTAGCAAAGAGTTAGTGTATAAATTATCCCTAATACTTTAATTTAGTTTTGGAAAGTTTATACATTGTGGTTGAGTAAATGTGACATGTTCTCTTCGCCATGTTAAAGTCTCCTCCCCATTTAGTGAGGGTCTGTTTTTACTATCTTACCCTCTGGATATCTTTCCACTGATGGCTGCATCGTGGCTTTTAAAAGAGGGGACAATTGCAACTTACAAAGGGCAGTAGACTCACACCAGCTTCCCATTAAGGAGAGAGCAGCAGCAAGGGGAGAGCAAATTCCTGGGCCGGAGGTGAGAAACACAGCTGGAAAGCATGGGTAGAATCAAAGTCCACAAAAAAGTGTTGATAATACTGCTGTCAAACCTTTTTCTCTTCATGTTCTGTTGGTTTAATTCTTTAAGATTTTACTTTGGTCTTCATAGTCTAGCCTTCCTGTTCTATCTCATAGTAAGAAATATGGTATAAACCTTGTTGGGAAACAAGCAAAGCAATCAAAACCATGGCAGTGTGCATTGAAAACATGTAACACCATTTGCTCTTGGTCTGATTTAAGTTTATATATCCATGCTCGTACAGAGGAGAGTAACCTCAGGCATTGAGAGGACATTATTACTATGATGACTAATGAAAAACCCCTTTGTTTATAATTGGGCATTGATTCTTCCCTTGCCCTTCTGCATGAATTCATACACCATACTGTCCTCCATTTGGACACTCATATTGGGGAAAACATTTTCTTCCAATAGCTGCACTTTGGAATTCTGCCCTCATATGCATCCTTTCTGGTGATACATTTCAGAAGCAGAATGTATGTAAAACCTTGCATTTCCAGAATTGACAAAAGCAGCACTCAGGGCAGGGCTGCTGTGCTGCAGAGGGGCAGGAAGGGTGGAAGTAGTCTCTGTGTTATAAACCTCCTGACTGTGGGCATGGGATGTGTGAAGACATGCATTGAGACTTTGCAAAGGAGTCAGCTGTTCTCAGAAAAACAGAGCAGGCTTTCAGGCTGAACCACTGCAACTGATCCCTTTAACTCTTTATTTGGACCGTGTATCTAGCTATGCTCACCTTTTTCTTTTAAGAAATATGAGCATGTTCACCCCTATTCCCCAAATGAGCCTACTTGCTGTACAAAGAATGTAGATAAATAATAGCAATTATCCACCTTGGTGTATTACTCTGACTTTGCCTGTGGCTTTTCCTTGGATCAGATTGAGTTGGATGACTTAATGGCAGCGGACAACAAAAGACTATACAGTTGCTTTATGGAGTAACTCATTTAGATGACTGACAAAATGTATGTATCGTAGAGTTTATACGTTAAGAAAGAAAAACAATCAGAGTTTTTGAGACATCATAAATGTATTTTATAAATAAAAAATATGTTCTTATAGATTATGTACTATTTCTTATTTCTTTTTTTTTGTAGCAGAATAAATGCATGATACTCCCATAAGCATAAAAGCTGTATCTTTCTTCACTGTGTAATGCTTGATCTGAGTAGCAGGAAGTCTTATGAATCATTTTGTGCCAATGTTAATTTATTAAATTGCATTCCCTTTTCCACAATTCCCATGAAAAAGGTATTCAGCTAGGTGAACACTCTTGGAAAATTTTAATAGGACCCTTGAAATCTGTTTGAGTTCACCTTCTGTAAAAAAATTTTATTTGCAATGGAAGCTGTGAAAGTATCAGAGATTCTTATGCCTTAGAGGCAATTTTTCTTCCATACATAATGGTGAAGCTTCACTGCTATAATATATGAGTCTTTAAAATGTTCTCTTTGTTAAATTGTAGATTGTGCTTAGAAATATGTAAGTTGGGCTCTATTCATTTGTTTTGTCTGACTTTTATTATTATTATTGACCAGTGTTCATATGATTTTCATAGCACTTTCCATTTGTTTTTGGTTTTTTCCAGTCTTTTCCTGGCCCGAGTCTTGAAAGTGAAGACTTTAACATACCTCCTATAACTCCTCCATCATTGCCTGACCACTCCCTGGTGCACTTGAATGAGATAGAATCTGGGTACCACTCTCTGTGTCATCCCATGAACCACAATGGTCTCCTTCCATTCCACCCACAAAACATGGATCTACCTGAAATTACAGTTTCCAACATGCTTGGCCAAGACGGGACACTGCTTTCCAATTCCCTCTCCGTGGTAAGCATTTTCAATCTTTCCCTTTTGATCTGCTTTAAGTTGCAAAATTGTGGAAATATAGGCCTGTTCGAAATCCTGCAAGGGGGTCAGCTCCTGCACCACTGGAGTCTTGGAGTGAGCTGGCCTGACTCTGGGTGTTACATTGTGCTCCCTGTGTCAAATCCTGCCCCCACCAGAGGTGGTGGGGGATTTACAGGTGTGTTCCTCAAAGCCAGGATGTTACCCTCTGCCGCCTTGTGCGGAAGTGTTCCTGCTCTACAGGGATGTAAATAATGGCAAAAGGAGGCTCAAGGCTCTGACTTCTGCTGGAGCAGGGTTTGGATCCAGATGGCTGTTGTTCTGTGTTTGTCTGATGAGGCTCTTTCCATTCTCATTTGCATGTGCTGAGAGATGTACAAAAATTTAATATCTCCTTTCTTGTTTACCGCACGTTTGGAAAACAGCAAATGTTATTTCTGATTCTAGGCCAAATCTTATAGCCTTTTTACAGTTCCCAGTCCTTAGCCAGCCAGAATCCAATTGAAATGACTGGATGACTTGCTTATAAAGTCTGTCAGATAGTCATTATGGTCGTAATCTTGGGAAGCCTGATATTGTAAATCACTTCTTTGAATGTTAAATTGCTTGCAACAACTGCAGAGTGACTTTACATGTTACATTTTCAAATGGGCTCTACAAATTATTAGTATACTTCTTGCATAGCAGCTCCAGACAAGATTATTTCACACTGTTGTACAGTTCTAAACTGAAGAGTTAAAAATCCCATGGAAAATTATGGAACCTGGCATTGTGTGGGTTGCACTGCACCTAACGCACTCGATGGGCTAGATGAGTTGCCCAAGAGCTGCAGATCCTAACAGCTAAAGTTAAGAATGGGCTGTTCCTAGAGATAAAGGGTCTGGGCTTCTCACCAAAGGATCAGAGGCTTAGGGCTCTGTGTCCCTGCTGGGAGGTTCTGCACTCAGGGACTGAGGCTGTTGAGCCTTCCAGCTTGCTAGCTCCTGACCACATTATCAAAAAAAACATAGATCAATCCTGGGAACGAGTGAGCTGAGGCAACACATGGAGGTTTGGGGACTGAGGGATCTAGGCTCAGCTCCCTATTAGCCCCTCAAACTAACATCCCCAGAGCCAGGGTGGCTGGAAAACAGTTTAAACAAAAACCTGCCTTGTCACAGGGCTTCATTGCAACTTAATTAAAGTGAAGCTGCCTTGATTTTGAGGAGCTCTGCATTCCCTCTGAGGATGTCCAGCAAGCTTTACTGCATGGAGAAGTAGTCTTGACTTCTTATGTGCTGCTTAGTTGTTATTGATTTACTAGGATGTTGCGCACTTTGTTTTTGAGGTCAGAATCTGACCCCAGGGTTATGTTCAATAGTGGGAGGACTGAGCAAGAGGCAGATTTTCATACAGAAATATAACTATACTCCGTTGAAAGGTTCTGAGTTTTCCTTGCGTGTCTACAAAGCTGATGGCATGCATTAAAGAGCACGAGTGAAATCTTGTGTGAGGTTCTGAGAATCAGAGCTATGAAAGGACTTGAAAAATACAAGAAATGCTTGATAATCCAGTCCAGTCAAGACAGACAACATTTCATTGAATTGACCTCTTTTGAGCCATGGTTCTGGCTCAAAACTATGCATTCTTTTAAGCTGTGATGTTCGACATTAACCTCTTGCAATAAGCTCTAAAAAAAGGGCCTTGAGAATTTGTACATCATCACAGTGAATTATTGCATTGAGGGCAAATACAAAAAAGCTAAATAATATAACTAGGCAATTTTGCTATTGGGATTTAGTGAACATAAGAAAAAATGAAAATCAGATGTCAAGAAAATATGTGCTAAATTTTTGCAGTAATTTCTGGCAATTTGTTGAATAAATAAAGCATGATCCTTGAAGTATCATGGGCTAAGTTGACTGTTATCCCTAACACAAGAGGACCTCTTACCTAGCAATAGTTTTAACTCAAGCTGGCTTGTCTGTGAAAGGGATTAAGCTACATCTTATGTTAGTACAATTGGTAGCATGTTAACACCATGATTTTGTACAGTTCAAACACTATTTTTCAGCATCGTTCCTTTGATTTGAGTTTGATAACTTAAGAGAAATTAACTTGAGGGAAATAATTTGTTGACTCTTCAGTGAATTCAGTGACTTCTTCAGTGACTAGAACGACCCCATTGCCCTTTTGGCTTTCCATTGATGAAGAATGATTTTGTAGAGCTATCATTCTTAACTTACGTTTGAAGCTTTTCTTTATAATCCAGAACCTTCTACATTTTTTCTTCAATATGGCTCTTTTCTCATGCTATTACTCATCTCTAAGTTTCTTTTTTTACTATCTCTTCAAATTCTGATCCATTTAACATGTACTTGTCTATATCACTCTGATATTGCCTCATATAGAATGTAATGTATAAGTTTTTCCAATCTATCTAAACCCTTGGTGCCATGTAATTTCTGGTAAATCAAATACTACTTAGTGTATTTGGAAACCATGTGTCTCACTTCATTTTTCAGGGCACTAATGAGTATTTTTAGAAAAATTATTCTTAGAAATGAATCTGTTGGCTGTTCTCTATCCCTAATTAATTTTACATCTTCAGCAAATTTTACTTATGTTGGGACAAATTCAGCTGCAGTGCGATATGCCTCTGATCGAATTTGGTTGTTTTTTTCTTTACTTTCAGCATCCTTCTTTTTTGTCTGTTTTTAACACATATTGGTATTTTAGCAATAATACCTTCTTTTTTGCCTGTGCTGGAACTAGTGAGTGTTTTTCGGTTTGTGTTTTTATAGGCAAAGCATTAATTAATATTAGCCAAATGAGAGAAAGGAAAGTCAATGAGCTCAGAAATGAAGTTGGAAAACAGTTCATATACTGAGTATAGCGTTTTTCTTACATTTCAGCTACCAGGTGTTTTCAGACGAGGATTTCTGTGATTTTGGACAGATTGAAAATTGAGGATGTACCCCTCTTAAAACCCTTTCAAATCTTTCCCCCATTAGAAGTCCTGGTTTCATACTGTGCAGCACTCCCTCCAAGCTGCAGATGAAATCCCTTTGAGTAAGGATTGCAGGATTTGCCCCAAGCTCTGTAAGAATTCTCCTCTGTGGAAGTGCTTAAACACACACAATAAGAGCCCACTACCAGCTCAGTGAATTCGTATTAGGGATCAGCTTCTTACAGATTTTTTACACTGTGGGAATTCTTTCTGAAAAATTTTACAATGCTGGGAGATGAAAATTTCCCATTGCCATTGACTGTGTCTGATACTTAAATTTGGAATTAGCCTTCTTTGAAGTTTTTTTGATTGACTGGACTTTCTATTGCACCCCCACTACTTTACAAAGAAACCCAAGCAACAAACCCACTAAATTTTCTCCTTCTCATTATTCTGCTGTCAATTCATATTTTTGCTTCTGTGTTTGTGTATTATTTGTTTTCTGCTTAGGTGACATACAGACATATACACACATGCACATGCACACTAATTTATACCATGCTGTCACATACAGATTTCTATAGATGCTTATTATATCTGCATATCAGGCTTCAGAAGTCTACAGCACTTGTGCAGAATGTGAGGCACAGTGGGAGAAATACATCGTCCAGCACCAGCAAGGGAGCTCTCCAAAGTCCTCCTTCAAAATGGACATGATTTCTATTCCTGCTTCTTAACTGGAACCAGTTTGATGTAGATAGAGCTGTTTGTTCAATGAAAATGTATTTACAGTACTGTGAGTATGTTTGTTTCTATATAAATGGAATAAGGATCCCTGCCTGGTTTCTTACAGTTGAAGGTAGCCCTGTGTGGGTTTGGTTCAGTTCCAGCTGGGGCTTGACCTGTCATCCCTTCTCTGTTTGTATGAGTTTTCCTGAAATATCCCAAGGATATTTCCAAGGACTGCAAGAAATACCCTTCTAACATTTGCAAACAAATGCATGTGTATACCATCCCTAGGAGAATGTGTGTTTAACTGTAAAAATGCTTTTGGATGTGCTCTATAAAATGAGTTTTTCTGTGTGTTCAATTTATCAATAAAAGTATAGCCATTTCAGCTTCTTTAGTATATCCTATAGATGAAATCTTTATTTCCACAAGAAACCAGAGTTAAAAATCACGGTGTTTTCTACACAGTGGGGAAAAAAAGACCCTATTTTTGGAATGCTTTCATTTGTAATCTTGGGCTGATCCTTTTGAAAATGTGGCTCATGATGGTATAACAGAAAATTTACAAGAAAGTAATAAAAGATATTTCAGTTTCTTGAAATGCTTCAAATTTCTGGCTTTGAAGTTTAAAGTGGAAAGATGTTAAAAGACAATAAAATCAGGGATTTTATTTCCCAAATGCTCTACTTGTGCTGGCAACAAAAGCCAGCATAATGTATATACTTAGGTTTATTGTCATTTTTAGTATACAGTCAAGGCACACTTTGAATTCAAAGGCTACTGTACAACTGTTTTGACAACCACCACATCAGTAGGTAATGTGCAGGACATATGAAACTGAAGCAAAAATGTTTCTTTAGGTCTGTAGGGAGTGCAGTACATCAAGGAATTCAGATATATTAGAGCAGCATGAATTTCTAATATGTTGCTCTTATGGAAAAGACCACTGGCATATTGAATAATGCTGCTTTCAAAGCAGAGCAGAAAATGTGATTACAGACAATTTCATTGCTGTTTTTAAAATAAATATTTTCAAAATCTTGAGGTATTTTATTTCATGCAATGCATAAAATATGTAACAGTGGACTAGAGCTAAAGATCTTCTAGGACACGGAAGAGTAGATGATGTCAGCTATAATTATTCAGATGTGGAATAATAGAAGCATTAGTTTAAAATAAAATGCATGTCACAAAGGCCCGTGTCCTTATATAAAAAAAGGCAATAAAAAGCTGCTTTTTTTTTTTTGCACACTTTGACAGAAGAATAAAGGCAATGAATAATTATTTAACATTATGCCCCAATTTATCAAAGCCTGAACAATTA